TAAGCATCATACTTCAACTATCCACCACCTATTGCAAGTGATAGAAATCAAATTGGTTTCCACATGTGGTATTTCTAAACCGATATCATCATGTTGATTTCATTTTGATATTTATATGCTTTCTCCATGCATTATATAAATTAAATTCCCTTGAGAAATAACTTGCTAATTATGCATATACTTTGCCTTCTATCATATGTATGCATATATTTAGGGGGAGCTTAATCTATATAATGTGAGAGTCAAATTTTGTGACCTATTCCACTCTACATACAAAGGATCACAAAGTTTGACCCTCTTTGTGCCACTAATGTCTTCTTTTTTGGTGTTTGATTCCAAAGGGGAAGAAGTTAGAGGATCAAAGGCAAGTATAAATTTGTGTAGGACCAAATTTACAAGTGGTGTCTACAAGTGACAATGGTCCGAGAAAGGGAGGATAGTGGATTATGGATTGCCTATGTAATAGGGAGAATTTGTAGAAAACAAGGCTTAAATTCATAATGCCACATGGGGATAAGTTTTATGCCACATAGGAATCAAAGCTTGCCCCTTGGGGATAAGACTTAAATAGGGAGAATTTGTAGGAACCAAAGCAAGGCTTAAATCCATAATGCCACATAGGAATCCGGTGCAAGATAAGTTTTATGCAGTATCTTTTAGTCTTACAAGTAGTTTTTTTAGTATCATATAACCTTGCCCCTTGCATTGCATCCTAGCAAGTAGGTAGATTTTAAATTGCAAATTTTTATTATTTGCTTGCTTTGGTCGTGTTGTCATCAATCACTAAAAAGGGGGAGATTGTAAGGAAAATGGACCCCTGGCCCATTTACTTTGGATTTTGGTGTTTGATGATCAACACAATCAAATTAGACTAATAAATTTGCAAGTGATTGTTTTGTAGTTCAATAGGATGCAAGGTGTGACTTAGACGAAGGCAATGTGATGATTCGATGATCAACACCATAAGCAAGACCTTAAAAGCACAAGAGAAGACCCAAGATATCAAGCAAAGTCCAAGCATGAAGATAGGAACCAAGCCGTACGTAAGACCACGAAGAAACGAGCTCATAGAAGTGACCGGACACTGGACCGGACGCTGGAAGAAAGTGACCGGACGCTCCGATCAAGAGTCTCGGCAATAGGCGCGACCGAACGCTGGACCGGACGCTAGCGGCAGATCAACCGGACATAGGACAGCAGAGTCCGGTCGAGTACAGAGAGGTTCCAGAGCGGCAAAACTACAACCGGACGCGTCCGGTGGCAGGTGACCGGACGCTGGCAGCGTCCGATCAATTGATCGCGGCTTCAATGGTCGGGACGACGGACGTGTCTAGTTAGGATGACTTTAGCGTCCGGTCAGTAGCAGAAAAGCGGGACTTCGTCTTCAACGGCTACTTTCATAGTGGGGTTTATAAATACAACCCCTAACCAGCCATTTGAGATGGGTGGAGCTGAGAAAACATATCTAGGGTGTTGATACACTATTTTAGTGATCTCCACTTGCATAATGCTTAGTGTTTCATTAGGTGATTAGCATAGGTGCTTTTGCGAAGTGCTTAGGTTGATTAGACCACCGCTTATGCGCTTGCTCTAGGTTTAGGCCTAGTGTTTAGTGAGGTTTACATACCTCTTACCACTTGGTGCTTGCGCGCACCATTGTTGTACATCGGAGGGGCTTGTAGTCTTACGAGATCATACCAACCGCGTTTGTGGTGTGGCCGCCACCGTGTACCGAAGGGAACAAGGCCCGCGACGTTTTGGCCGGAAGCTTGATAGTAAAGACGGCGGGGAGCATCCGGGAGAGGCTTGCCGGAAGGCACATCAGAGACCCACTTGCGTGTGGGGAAGGCCTGAGGCTATCCACGAAGTTACCAGACCGGGAGCCTGGCCCTTGCGACGGATTCCTTGCGAGGGGCTCCAACGAGGACTAGGGGGAAGCTTGTGCGCTTCTTGATACCTCGGTAAAAATACCGGAGTCATCGACGGGAGTTTGCATATCTCTACCTTGCTCTTTAGCTTCCACATTCACATTGATTACATTACTCCTTTTGTGGTGGAGATAGCAACACATTAGCAAAACCGTAGTTGCACATTTAGATAGTTTATCTTTTGCATAGGTTTTGCTAAGGGTAGAAAAAGAGGTCATAGTTTAGAGTTAGAATTTTAAGTTGCCTAATTCACCCCCCCCTCTTAGGCGTCACGGTCCACTACAAAATGGACAAGAGAGGAAAAGGATCCCAAGTCTCTGGTGAAAGGAGTGAGTGGGTGCTGAGAGCTCGATTGCTCCTCAGCTGTGCGTTCGTGTCGTGCTCTTATACGGATCTATCTCGGATCTTGATGGGTCGATTGGTTTTTTATCCCTCTCATGGGACACCCTACTTTCCCTTTTATAGGCTAAGGGAAAGCGTGGGTTATAGCAGAGGAAAAGAAGAAGAATGAGAGAGAGGAAAGCCTCAAGGATCGTCGGGTCCTTCTTCTCCTTCGTGCGGGACCCATCGACCCTGTAGATATCAAAAGGGATGGCTCCACGTCACGGTCCTATTCGTCACAGGCGCCATGTGCAGGCATCATCCGCTAGTCATGGCGCTCCACTCCATCCTGGCGGACGTCGTGGTGAACTGACGCGCCTATCAATGTTCGTACGAGGGTTAGGCAGAACAACACCGGTATGTCCGACGTTGTTCTTGATGTGAATCCTCAGGTATGGCCCATCGTGGCCGCGGGTTACATCGAGGCGTGACGGTCTCTTCCTTGGTGTAAGAGTTTTGACCTAGGCCCATACGCTTGGACCTGGAGTGGTTGGCGGCAGTATAGGTCCCCGTCAGGCGAGATAGAGCCTGCACCCAAGGGGTCGGGCGAGGCGGAGCCCGCGGCCTCGGGGTCGGATGAGGCGGAGCCCGCCCCCAGAGGTCGGACAACGCGGAGATCGTGGCCTCGAGGTTGGGCATGGCGGAGCCCGCCCTCGGAGGTCGGGCAAGGCGGAGATCGCAGCCTCGGGGTCAGGCGAGGCGGAGCCCACGCACCTGGGGGTCAGTTGGAGATGTAGGCGCGCTATTGACGGCTCGATTGAATCAATATTGATGACCATTAGCTCCTCCTCTTCGAGTACCCTAGTATTGGTCCCCGACACTCTAATAAATAATTAGTCAATAATACTTGTTTATTTTGTCTAAAAATAATACATGTTTATAATACTAAAACTTGCATAAGTAGATTGTTTTCAAGGTGACTCTAAAATGATATTGATTCTTCGACAAATGGCAACATATTATAAAAGAAATTAAGAGATAAAATATATTTAATACTATTTTTTGCGGCAATGCCAGTGCCTGGACGTCCTAATAGACGCTCGTTCTACACTCCCGTTTCCTTGGCCCCCGCCCGAGCCTGGCAGCCTGCATTTCACGCGCCCACATGGGGCCACCCCGCTAGACCGCTCGTGCCCCCTCCGCTTCTCACATGCATTGCACCATGTGCAACACCCGATCTACTTTGCTATATCCAGATAAAACACTTGCAAAATACATCTGAAACATCTGAAACACTTGCAACATACGTCTGAAACACTTGCAAAACACCAGAAAAACCTTAAAAACACACGTGTAGCCATTGCAAATATCAAGATGAAACACTTGCAACATATGTTTAAAAACACTTGAAACACTTGTATATATGGAACATCTCGATCTAGTTTTGCAACATCCAAATGAAACACTTACAACATACGTCTGAAACAGATGAAACGTTTGGAACATACACTTGAAACATACGTGTATAGCCCATTGCAATATGTGCAACATCCCTATCAAACACTTGCAACATAGCTCTAAAACATCTAAAACATTTGAAATGTACACTTGTAACATGCATTGTATCTCGGTGCGGCCTCCTCCGCCGTCTGCATCGAGGCGCCGCCACCTTAGCAGGAGGGCTTCCGTGTCAGGGCTCGATGCTTCTCCTTGCGCAGCAGCCTCGGTGGCTAGCTGGCGACCGAGGGAGCGGTCGCCACGCATGGGCGCGACAGTGCCCGCACCGTCAGGCGAAGCAGGCCACAGAGCAGAAGCAGCGGCACGAAGCAGCGGGGCGGCGCGGTGGAGCAAGGGAAGGAGCAGCGTGGGGTCACCGTCGACGGTGGAGCGGGCCGCAGAGCAGGAGCAGCAAGGCGGCCGACGGAGCAAGAGCAGGCGGGGTCACCGCGACGTGCGGAGTAGGTCTCTTGTCTCCTCATTTCTTATCCAACCGACACAACGAAAGAGACGGACATGAATATCGTAATAAAAAATGAGTGGACGCAGACCAGAGGTTTATTGGGCTGATTTACAGGCCCACGAAGTGGCGTTCGGACGGACGTACGTCTCATAAGTAGCATTTCCGTAATTTTTGTCTATTGAAAATATAATTATCATTCCAATGGAAGGAGTCGCAGCATCCGATACTCATGACTCCCAAAATTATAAATTTATACGAAACACGGATTGATGGACTATTGTATTATTAAACCGGCCCCAGATCTCATAAACTCCTTTCCATGTGTCGAAACCCAAACCAACCACCAACGCCAATCAACACTGGCAACTAGCCAACTACGACTGCGGTGCAAACAAACGTCATCAACAGGCGCACACACGCAGCTTCCTTATTTGCATAACGTAAAAATGAGAGCACAACAGCTAGCGGTATCTAGAATTAGGACAGTTCAGTCGAGACCAACATGCTGAGCTGAACTGTACATTCTACAGCCGCGAGCGGCCGATCCTGTCGCTGTCGGTGATGACGTGGGCGCGGGTGATCTCCCTCAGCGACGTGCAGCCGCTGAGCGCCATGGTGAGCTCCAGCTCGTCCCTCAGCATCTGCAGCACCTGCCGCACGCCGGCCTCGCCGTCCACTGCCAGCGAGAACAACACCGGGCGGCCGATCTGCAACACCAAGCAACAGTGTCAGGTGTCGAGCTTGAACGAGATAACAATGTTAGCAGTATCCAGTGGGTGCGTCGTCCTTACGAACACTCCTGAAGCTCCCAACGCCAGGGCCTTGAACACGTCCGTGCCACGGCGGACGCCGCCGTCGAGGAACACCGGCAGCCGGCCTTTCGCTTCCCTCACGACCTGAATTCATGTAGCCCTTCTCGTAAAAACCTCAGCAGACATGGAAGTTGGAAAGCCAGGAAGCACAAGCAAAGCTTCTTCTGAAGACTCGGCTATTCATAATGAAGCTGTCTGTGCTTTTCTGGAAAACGTAACCTCTGAAGCTCTGAATCTGAATACAGAAGGATAGTTAGCGTACCTCTTCCAGGCAGCTGATAGTTGCAGGAACATAATCTAGCTGGCGTGCGCCGTGATTGGACACAATGATCCCAGCAGCGCCATTTTCAATTGCAAGTCTAGCTGCATTGCGTATATGTTTAATGCTGATGCGAAACTGAAGCTGCACCTCAAAGTCTGAAAGTCTGAAACTGAATACTTACTGTCTTCTGCGGTCACGACCCCTTTCACTAAGATCGGCAACGAGGTAATTGTCTGCAGCCACTTGATGTCCTGTTTGTTGTATTGCTACTTATCAGCATTTTATTGCCACATACTAGAACACTTGAATGCAAGTAGAGTGAAATACTATTGCATTTGTGTTTTTTGAATGCATCTTCCATTTATGTCAAACTTCAGATTAGCTGTTATCTGAAACTAGGAAGCTAGGGTGTAGTCGTGTAGAAATAATACCTTCCAGGAAAGAGTGCGGTCAACTTGACCAGCAACATAGGAAGCGAAACCAGAATCATTTGTCTGATACATCAAGAGATATTTGGTAAGAGAACCTGAAGAAATAGATGCATTTTTATACCCTATGTCAAGCTCAGTTTTCAGATAACCTTGTCCATCGTGCCAAGATCCAGCGCTTCAAAGTTTTTCAACACCAGATGTGGAGGTAAGGTGAAGCTGCATGGTTTCAGAGTACATATGCAGTGTGTATAGGACTCATAATAGAGAAAAAAACGAAACGTTCATCCGTACAGCACACTGGGTTCAGTTCTTAGATTAGCACCTGTTTTTTATATCAGCTTCCCTGCGGCCAAGTATTGGAGTGTCTACCGTGAGTGCAATAGCCTTAAAGCCAGCCATTTCAGCCCTTTTCACGAGTTGCCGTACAATATTCCTGTCCTTGTAGACCTGATGGAGACGATGATACATGGTAAGGTCAGTCCGTCAGTGTGATGAACAGAGCATAAGCAATGCTCCTTGTAAGTTCATGAAGATAATAATGCATACATAGAGCTGGAAGAAACGTATCCCTGGCCCAACTGAGTTGACCTCTTCAACGCTGGAAGTAGACCATGAGGACAATGTCTGAAAAAACCATAAGACCAGTCATAGGATCAGCACAATATAATGGATTAGTGTTTGGGTCATGACTGAGGTGCCACAAGCAGTGTGATCTTTGAAACCATTATTGTTCCTGCAGAGGCTGCTGCTCTTGCCGTAGCAAGCTCTCCTGCATTCCATATAATATCTCCATGAGAACTTTCCTTTGGAAAAATGAGTATAAAATCGTAATTGAGCATTCGTCCGAACCATCAGGATGAGCCATTTTCTGCATGGCTGTAGGAGCAATCATAATAGGCATGGAGATGTTGAAGCCCAGGACGTTTGTGGCCATGTCGATACGGGAGACGTCAATCAGTATCCGTGGTCGAAACCTGTAATCATATCCACAAGGAAGCACAAAATGAGGTTCTCAGAGAACAAAGGAGGCCAAGAGGAACTGGTACATTTCGTTCCTGATTATCACATGCACTGTCTCCTTTTTCTCAAACTTGACTTGATGTCAGTGTTTGTGTTGTGGATAAATTAATTCTTACTCTTGTCATACATGGGAATGGTTATAGAGTTAATGAGCAAAAAGTCCTGGAGATAACTATTTAAGGTCTACTAGAAACATGCGAAATGCCATACTCAACGTCATCTGTATGAAAATTCAGAGTCGAGATGCATGACCGAAGAGCTGAAACCTGCAAGGAAAATAGTTCTGCACATGTCCATGCATTTCTAATGTCATGTGTCGTATCTGAGAGTTCCTAATGAAGTTGGCATCTTCTTTTGACCATGCAGGCCACAAATGACAAGACACATCTGATCTCTTGTCCTCTACTCCATGTGTGATTGGTCCACTTTGCTACCATTTACTTTTATTAATTAAAGGTGATTTTATCCGCTTAGACAAAACAAATGGACAAAGTGACCTCAGACTAATTGTTATCATGAAGCTATACATTTTCCACAAGGATTGGAGAGGCACCTCATGCATTATCCTAACGCTCAAAAACTTAAAATAATAGTATATGGTTTTCTTGATACATGACAGTTTCTATCAGATATCAAAAATATATATGTCATCCTTGTATACTTGTTCTGAACGTTTTCCATAAAGTTCTCGACTTTCAGTGAATTATTAGCTGCTGACGTGAGTAAAAACAAGAACAGTTGAATCAGCGGTGTGCTACCAATCGAATACGGCTAAAACCTACTGTTTTGGAAGGTAGCTTGGCTTACAGAATTCTGGAGAAGGCCTCCCTGTTCTCCTTGAGCGTCCACTGATCTTCTGCGCCGGAGGCATAGTAGTCGTACACCATCTTCGGCAGCTTCTCCTTAGCGAGCTTCTCATACTCGGTGACATTTGTGATCAGCTCCATGTCTCTGCCCAGACAATTCCTCACAGTTAGTTCCAGTTCATCGGCAGTTCAGACTTCAGACAACTTCTCTGATCTGCTAATACCACATATTCCACTTTCCATCATAAGAATTCACTTTCCATCAGAAGAATTCAGAACAATATAATGATGTTGTTTTGAGACTGATGATGAAAAATAACAAGAACAAGTGGGGGTTTCCGTATAGTTCAATACAGAGAAATCAAGCAGGTTAAAACACAAATCAAAACATGGGGCAAAGCAACAAGACCGCAACAACAGAATGATTCGCGGATTCAGACTTAGGGACATTCTTTGGTAGCCTAGCTAGGGGCATCACATAAATCATCACTGCAAAGACAGGAACCGATCCAATTGAGGCCTTCAATTGATTCCAGCGACCGAGAGGCGAGAGGAACGATTACCCCTACCCTTTCCTTGCGCAGAAGAACCCAAACAAGAAAAAGGGCTTAAACCGGGCCGGAAAAACTAGACCGAATGAAATGAAATGATCAGATGCCAAGGTTCCCGGGGAACTCACTGAGCGCGCAAGGGAAGCGGAAGCGGCCGAGGCTCTGACGGACGCCCGTTCGCCGGCCTTGGAGTGATCAGTGATGAATTGGAGCAGGGGTCTCGTGGTGTGGCCAGCCGTGTGGGTATTTAAACACTCAGATCAGACGGTGTCATGGTGTGTTGTACTGCTGTCACTATGATGCGCCCGCCCGTGAGGCCGAATTTTTTATTTTTTAGCTTTTTTTTAAAAAAAAAATAATAAATATGTCTCGAGGTAAGATTTTAAAATCTAAACCGTTAGCTCGGCGCCAACGAGCTTCCACTGCTCACTGCTCGATGCCATTATTATTAGCGTCGAGGTTTTGAACTCGACGCAGATATAGCACACGTCGTAAATCCTGACGCCAAATCTTCACGCCGAGTTTCCCGCCGTGTGGTCTATGGAGCCGAGGTGCCGAAATGTCATTTCGAGATCCATCTGAGAGGACGGTTGCTCTGACGTCTGATCCCTTGTTTCTATTCTATCACAAGCCTAAAGGTGCAGTGGCCACCAGTACGTCGCTACTTGCTACACACAGACAGAACCATTGCATCAATATACACGTCATATCGATTGTCAATCGTGAGATCGTGCTGGCGATCAATATATCATATATACATCAATATACAGGACGTCTGTGCCGGGATCGCTCCGCAGTTAGAATCCACAGACACGGTTGTTGGCGATCAATAAAACACGCACGAACAGGAACACGGCCGGTGCGGGATGCGCACGTCGCGATGTCGACCCTAGGCTGCAGCTGAGTAACTGACGGCGGCGGTGCCGGGCCGCCGCGACGGCCTGTGGCGGGATCGCTCCGCAGCTCCTACACGTCGCCAGCTGCCGCGACGGCCTACACGTCGCCAGCTGCCTCCTCCCGGGGCCTCTGCACCACCACGCCTTGACAAGCACACTAATCTGTCTCTTCCTTCTCTCGTCAAGATCTGCCCATGATTCCTACCACCCATTTGATTAAGGCCTGGTTTAGTTTTAGTATAAAGTTTTGGAATGTCACCTCAGATGTTATATGGAGCTTAGAGTGTTCGGATACTAATAAAAAACAAATTATAGAATTCGTCGTTAAACTGCGAGATGAATTTATTACATGTGACGTGGCAGCATATTTGCATGTGGGCATGCCATGTAAGGAAATGAGGAAAGAAGAATGAGCAACTAGCGATTCAGAGAAATGTTTCAGAGCAGTGCATGATACTGTCTCACGTTGTTTTGGTCCCTGCACATGCCCTGCAGTTTTGTAGCCGTTCAGGCTCGCTGGACTGCGATTGCAAAATCGCTGGGAGTTCGGCAGCACGGTGCACGCACAAGCACGCTAAGGACAGGATAGAGCAGACGTGCGCCAACTTGAGCTTTGAGTTCCGCGCTTGTATTGTCTGTACAGATTCCTGTCATCCTGTCATTTTGCAGTGTCATTTCTGTTAATTGGCACGAACACAAAATTCTTCATTCTCCGCAGCATCCAAGGCGCGTGCCTGGAATCTTATGTATGTATGTCCAGTCCAAAGTACTACCTCAGCTTCTTGTACGCAAGTTGTGGCGTCTCAACTGGACAGGCTGATACACTTATTAGATGGATTTCAAGAATCAGAAACTACACCGGATCCTGAGAGATAAACACGTACAATGATGCATCATGGGCAAAGATCCTGTGAGCTATTCCTTTCACATTGCAATTTGGAGACTGTCAGATGTCGGATTGGATAATGTTATAGTATTAACTTAGCATCATCCATTTTTCCTACGCAACGGCTCAACGAGCCCCGTGTTAAACTGATGGACCTACGAATTGAACTGGTGCGTTAACCCTTTGGCCCCGTTCGCGTGCCCTTAAATCTGGCTTGATTCGCTTCTTTTTTTATCCGGAACAGTGTTTTTCTCTCACAAATTCCTCCAACATTTCTCTAAACCATCCAAATTCCTCCAAACGAACCTGCCCTTTATAAATTAGGATATGGGAGAAGCCTACATTTGTACTATGTCCAGCCCAAGTGATAATAATACCACTAAAATATGTATATCTCAGCTGTTGTATACAAGTTGATGTGTCTCAACTAGAGAGCCCGATTAATCTAGTTTGATCTCGTTGAATTGTGGGAACTAGAAACAGTGGACTTCGTTGTGCCTGACTAGTGTTTTCTGCATCAGCCAAATAGGCAACATCACGTGTCATACTTGACGTCACCTGTACTGTACTCTGTAGAGCGAGTCATAGACTTGTTCGCTGTCAGAGGCTCAGAGCACATAGTTTTGGTACCTCAGCGGTTTCCGGTTTTGTTTTCACAACAAAACTAATGGAAGGCTGAATCCTCAATTGCAATACATGCAACGCACACGCCTCGGCTTCCTCAGCTTCCAGCTTGGGCGCGTACGATCTGCAATATATCAGAGCATGCTGTGCAGGTGGACTCCATGGTTTGGTTTCACTTCATCTGAATTTATGCTAGAATCACGCCAGGTCGTTCCTAAACCTGAAAGTTGAGAAGAAGCCTGAACTGCGCATGGCGCTTAATTAGATGTAGATACTGTGGACTTGCCAGGTTCTCCAGAAAAATAGCAGCAGCCAGTTTTGTGATTGAACTGAAAAGGACTAACAAACTTGACCATGGCCAATTCCTCATATCCAACAACCATGCATGACAAAAAGCTCCGCTTGTTCTTTTCTCCGTTTTGGACAGACCAGGCTTTGGGGAAACCATAGGATTTGAAACTTAGAGGGACTGAAACCAAAATGAATCAACTATACATGAAGCAAAACTAGAATACAGAGAGAAGAGATTCTGCACTGAACTTTGCGGACACGATACAGTGTGATGCAATAGTGGCCGGCATCCGGCAAAGGTTCTACCGAATATCCCTTTCACATCTAGGAGGTGTCGGATTGGATGATGATGCTATTACTTTAACCTTTTATCATCTCATTTATTATTTAACAAGGTCCGTGTCAAATTACTGCAGTGATCAGTGACAGTGAGGAACCCGTCGTCAGAGCGCACGCATTTTATTCAGAAGGGATGAACCTAGGTTACATGATGCGTGGGATCCCAATCCCCGACGGCAGGTACGACACGGCCAGGGCCAGTGGATGTAGACAAGTAGCTAGCCTTGTGCGCACGCAGCGAACACGACACCTCGTGAGTCGTGACTCGCCAAGGTTTGCTGCATCACGCATTCACGTAGGACAGGAAGGAAATATAAGAGACGAGTGCAAGAAATGTTCACGCGGCGCAATACCTACCTCGTTTAGATAAAGATTTCCACGCGGCGCCTGGCGAAAAGATTTTCGTGATTTCCAACTAAACTGTGTAATTAGTTATTTTTTTTACCTTTTTTAATGATTAAAAATTGATGCAAAGAGTAAAAAACTTGGAATTTGATTAAAAATAATATTTTTTAATGATTAATTACAAATGTAGCATTTAATTAAAAGGATTACAAATCTAGTAAGCTATCTATCGGCTTCTTAGTGACAACAGATATCTATCGATCTTCCAGAAGCCGACAAGGCTCTGAAGCGGGCTAACTCGTACGGCAAAGTGGGTCATATCGGGCCGATAAACCTATCGGCCGCGCAGGGGCCTTCATATTGGGCGGATAGGACTATCGGCCACGCAGGGGCCGATAAGCATCTGTCGGTTATCCGCTGGCCGATAGATCCACAGTAGCAAAATGACTAGCGTATCCTCCTGACCCCGTCCCTCTCATTCGATTGATTCCCCTCGCGGCAGCGCCAGTTGGCCGCTTACGGTTTCCATTGCCACTCCACCGCCTGGCTTAAACCCTCGTCCATCCAAACCCTTCCGCCGCTGGTGGTGGCGACGACGACTACGGAGAAAGGGGCGCGGGCTTGCGATGGGCGTCCCGTACCTGGTAAGCGCATCCTCCGCCTCCCCCTCCGTCTCTCTGGGAGTCTGAGTGGTGGGCGTGACTTCGTTTTTTTAGTGGCGCACTCGCGCGCGTGCTAGTGTTCGTACTCGCCCCAAGCCCCCCCTTTCCTTTTGCTACTACGCGCATGGTGCCCTGCGTGGTGAATTGGGTTAGGGATGGGATGGGGGCGTTTCAGAATCAGTACAAGTGCCAACGGACGAGTGAGCCATGGCCGGATGATTTGGGGAAAAGGTCTGAGCTTTTCGAGGGGGGGTTTGGAGGATTCTGCAAGAGTTGCTTTGTATTTTGGGCGCAAGGTTTTGCATTTCCAGGAGAAAGGATCGTGAATGGTGGGGCTGTGGGTTCTCAAGGGTAACTGAGAGACGATGCTGGGTTTTATTGCTGAACCTTATGCCCAACCTGATCACATTGTAAGAGATGAGCGCTGAAATAGATGATGCAGGCTTGTATGTGTGATTGCATTTCCTGTATAATTTTGCTGTGGTACTGGTACTGAGTACTTTAGGTTTGGTGGGCTGAGTTTTGTTTTTCGATTTCTCGTAGTCTG